GAGATCAAGATAGACCACATCCACTGCTTTAAGTCTAAACAGAAGAAAAGCAATTATCTTCTGGAATGGATCTCCTTTTTTTAGTATAAAATATTGATTTCTAGCTAAAGGAACATCTTCTTAGTTTACTATATACTTGGAAACATAGAAGAGCATCAGAAACTTTAGCATCTGTTGTATCTTGTGAGCTTCCTGTTTCCTTCTAGTCTCACATTCTACATAGTAAGTACACAGTGAAAGGTACAGACACTATTGTTTTTTATTTCTTAAACCTGCCAAAATTTGGTAGCTGCTAAGATTTCAGAATGTATTTCAGGTGTGTTCCCTTTGCTCATTTTGACTGTAGCCCACGTGCTTGCAGAAGGGCTTCTTCACTCTTTTCCTCTTCACTGGATTAAACTTTAAGTGACTCCAAGACTGAAATACTGATGTTGTCTACCTGACTTCTGTAAGGCCTTTGATATGGTCCTCCACAACATCCTTGGTGATAAATTGGAGAGAGATAGGTTTGACGGATTGACAAAGGACTGAGAGATGGATATGAGATAGATAAGGAATTGGCTGGATGGCCACATCTGAAGAGTTACAGTCAATGGCTCAATGTCCAAGTGGAAACCAGTAACAAGTGGTGTCCCTCAAGGATCCATACTAGGACCGGTACTATTTAATATCTTCATCAATGATGTAGACAGTGGGATTGAGTGCACCCTCAGCAATTTGGCAGACAACACCAAGCTGAGTGGCGCAGTTGATTTGCTAGAGGGAAAGGATGCCATCTAGAGACTGTGACAGGGTTGAGGAGAGGGCCTGTGCAAACTTCTTGAAGTCCAACAAGGGCAAGGCCCTGCACCTGGGGTATCAATACAGTATTAATACAGGCTGGGGGATGAATGGATTGAAGAGAAGGTCTTGAGGATACTGGTGGACAGAAAATTGGACATGAGCCAGCAGTGTGCATTCACAGCCCAGAAACCAAATCATATCCTGGCCTAAATAAAAAGAAGCATGGCCAGCAGGTTGAGGGAAGCGGTTCTCCCTGTCTACTCTGCTCTGGTGAGAGCCCACCTGGAGTACTGCATCCAGCCCTGGGGACCCCAGCACAAGACAGACATGGATCTGTCAGAGCAGCTCCAGAGGAGAGCTGCAAAATGGGTCCAGAGTAGGGCCGCAAAACTGGTAAAAGGGCTGGAACACCTCTCCTGTGAAGAAAGGCTGAGAGAGTTGGGGCTGTTGAGCCTGGAGAAGAGAAGGCTCCGGAAAGCCTTTTGATATGTAAAGGGAGTTCATAAGAAGGAGGGAAAAAGACTTTTTTTTTTTTTTTTTACCAGGGACTGTATTGACAGGACAAGAGGCAATGGTTTTAAAGTGAGAGAGGGTAGATTTAAATTGGACATAAGCAAGGAACTTTTTACAATGAGAGTGATGAGATGCTGGAAGGTGTTTCCCAGAGGAGTTGTGGATGCCCCATCATTGGTCAGGTTGGATGTCATTTAGAGCAGCCTGATCTAGTAAAAGATGTCCCTGCCTGTGGCCTGGTGGGGTTGAACTAGGTGGTCTCTAGAGTTCCCTTCCAACCCAAATCGTTCTATGATTCTATATCCAGAATGTCCTAAGTTGCTAGTCTATGTTGTGAATGGTTGGAATGTGAGAGTGGGCAAGCTTAGAGCAATGAGTAGCAGGGGAACACCACTAAGTAAATCTATCCTTTCTTCTCACAGGAGAACCACACTGTTAACTTCTTTGCAGTATTCAGAATTCCCATGATTTAACAGTACATATTCTTCTATCATCTAACAGTGTCCCACATACGATATCTTCTCAGCTAGGAACAAGATGGATTTAAGACGGGGATTACAAATGTAAAGCATACCCTTAGTCTGGGGAAAGAAGATTGCTTAGAATCATGAACTATTTAAAAACTGGTTAAAATACTCTCTACTGATTAGACACTGATGCTTGAGCAAACTTTCCTTTCCATGGTTAGGCCCACCTGGGAGTTGGTCAAATGCATGAACTGTCTTTGAAGAACAAAGAACATCTGATTCTCCACTGGAATTTTTTCTCAGTAGCTTTATGCAGCCAGCTTTGTTACATTCATACGTTACTTAAATAGCTCCCTGGAGACCCACTTCTAAGACCATTTGTCATGTTAGTTACCTGACACATTCAGCACATAGAGATCACATTACCAGGATGCATCTTTGTACCAACACAAACATGTATGTCTGTGTATGCACATGAATGTATGTATTTTGGGTCAAATCTTTATTTGTGGTGTGTAGGTATGATAACACAACTTGCAGAAAAGTACAACCTACCAATGAAAACAAGTTTCAGCTCTGCTCGTGGATTTTTTATCCAGATGAATGTTGATTGTTCAACATTACCCAGTGGCCAACTTCCTTCAGAATTTACAAAGGTATCTGTACTAGATATGTTATTTCATAATATCTTTGTGTACTTAATATATTTAAAATGTAGAATACATTAATAAAGTACATATTATGCAGTAATTTCAGCAACAATTAAAATAATTTCAGTGAAGATAACGAAGGTATAATTGGTATGTTTTTGTAACTGCCCTATTTCTAGTTTTACTTAATATAGTCAGAAATGTGCAATTACATGCACATTATGTTGTGTGTAAATATAAAGTTGTATATCTTGCTGATAACTGCATTGTCTTATATGGATTTTTTATTAGAATTTATATGGGAAAAATGAAACCTGGCATTGTTTTTGTCCCCCTGTATTATTCCCAGTTTGCTTTTTAGAAACTGTCTGATAATAGGGCAAGTTCTTACTGTTGGTTTGAATTTCCTGTAGGTGACTAAAATTAAAAACACATATAGCTTCACTTCAGCAGATTTAATAAAAATGAATGAAAGATGTCAGGAGTCCCTGAGAGAAATATATCACATGACCTACTTGTAAGACCATTTTAAATTATTTAATTTTTGCTAACTACATTTACTGTGTCCAATTAACAGCTCTTTGCACGTTTTCTTAAAGCTATCTTTCTTTTAAGTTATGGATACCTACAGAAATAATCCAAAGTGACACTGATCAAATGCAATTCCTGAGCCAAAAATCCCCCACAAAGTGTATATTGTATTAAACACGATTACAAATATATAGGCATTTATTAATAAGGGTGGCCGTTATATTTACTAAGTTGTTACGGGTGAATTATCTACACAAAATGACACAATGAATGCATTAGTTTTGTAATGCCCAGTCATTACTTTTAATCAGTTCCTTGCATTTACATTAGAACTGTCTATTTCTGTATTTTGTCCTTGCTGGATGTCATGTTGCTCTGCTGTCTATTTCAGAAGACTTACTAAGTCTAATGTTGCATGTCAACTTTATGGGAATTCTTTCTAGAAACCATGTGGGATTTTTATTGACATGAAGGCCTAAGGGATTATAGTTGCATTTGACATGTTAATAAACCATATTTGATTCCATAGCTATATTTTTAGTTCATTCTCTTTATGAATCTTTTATATGAGCTGTTGGTATTTGATCTCAGTGTCTTGTGTCTGATAGAATAATTTGATCTGAGGTGATGGTATAATGTCTTAATTTGCTTCAAAGAAATGTATACATTTGCTTGCATCTGGCAGAGATTATTGCATTTTATGAATAACCTCCTGTCCTAAAGATGCAGTATAAACATTAACTTGCTTTGTTTCTATAAGTTGTATAAAGTGACAGTATGTACTGTGCAACAACTAAATTTGTGTCTTATTGCAGAATAGTGTGTAAACTACTGAACGAGATCTATGAACACATTCATTGCCTATACAAGCTGTCTGACATTGTGTCAATGCTGGATATGCTGCTTTCATTTGCCCATGCCTGCACTCTTTCTGATTATGGTAAGTTTCTTTGATTCTGTCATGGGCCAGATAAAGACCCTCCTGTTGGAGAATATCCAGGCTGTTTTGTCTGGTTCGCCAGTTGCTAAGCCCACATCATTTATTTTTCTGAACCTCAGTAAGCTTTAGGTGAGTGTCTCTGGTCTGTCCTTGCCATTTTGGTGCTGATGTTTTTTCTATTCATTGAAATTAAATTCTGCCATTTAGCTGCTGTAAGCCTTCACAGCCAGTCTTTTCAAAATAGCCAGTTTAAGCATATTCTGTTCAAAAGCATGAAGTGTGTGAGCATTCTGAGTTTACACCTCTGTTCTGAAAGGGCATTAAAGATATACTGTAAAACAAACTATGTGGCTACCTTTGTTTATCTGCTTCAATTTCTGTAGCACTTTTAGACATTTTTGGAAGTAGAATCCAGGATCACATGCTTACCTGCATATTGTTCATCCTGCTTCCCCAGCCCAGTTCTGCAATGTATAAATGAGTACATTTTCTTAAATTAATGCTGACCTGAGACACTTTTCTACAGTACAATACACTGTAGATACTAGGTCTGGAAGCCATCTCAGGAGATGTATTAGCTCATAATTACTGATGCTGCTATGTAATTTCCAGTTCATGAGCAGGATCAATTTATTTTGCAATATGGACTGTGAATCTTCATGTGCTGATGATTCCAGTCATAGCACATGAATTGATATGTAACTGAACAGTAACTGATATGCTTGAGGCATCACAACCTTTTCCCACCAAATGAATCGGAGCACAAGTTTTCTTCAGCAGTAATAAGACCAAAGCCACTTAGTTTCTCCCATAAATCTACACCTGCAGTCTACACAGCCAGGCATGAATGTCTATCCACCAAAAGAAATTGACTGTCATTGGTAGCTTTTAGCCTCCTTTGCCACTTGACTCTCTCATCTAAATTGTTAAATGACTAAAACCTATACCAGGTAGATAGAGTTTCCCAATGTTTAAACCTGTAAAACTGTTTTAGCACTTCTTTCTTGAAGGCTGTTCCATTTAAACAGACCCTAAATGTAACAACACTTCTTTGTTAACCTGGGGTACTGCCATTGAGGTAGACAAAGAGGAGGCATACAGAATAGGTTCAGAAAAGAACTGTATTCTGACAGAAATGCATATAGATAGTCCCGGTATCAAAAGGAGAAAATATGATAAAGTGATAAAATATGATAAAATATAACAAAAGTAGGAAGAATGCTACTTTTTTGTTTCCCAGGCTTATGTAATAAGGTACATACAGAGTTTGTACCTCTTTACTTTATATGCTCATAGCAGTATAAAAATAAATTATTAAAAATTATTATTAAAAATATTAGCTTTGAAACTGGCTTTCAGGTTTTCTGTTTTAATTATTTTTCAAATTTTGCTCTTTGTATTTTTCTTTATTACTGGAATCCAACCCTACTTACTACAGAACACAAAACCAGAATGTTAATTTAGAAATTAAGTGTTAGTTATGGGATTCTTTTTGTAGCAATAAATCTTGAAGTCTTGCATGACAACCAGAATCTATACGACAAAGTGGTATGGAAAGTGACAACTACAGGAGAGTAAAAATCGGGGAATCAGGACCAGAGAGTTTGGCTTCATCTCTGCAAGAGTTGCTTTATTTCAAAATGCACTAGTTTAATAATGTAAAGGTTTCCATACTAACACTGCAATGTTTTCTATCCTTTTTCTCATTTAGTTCGTCCAGAATTTACAGATACTTTAGCAATCAAGCAAGGATGGCATCCCATTCTTGAAAAGATAGCTATGGAGAAACCTGTGTCTAACAACACATATCTGACAGAGGGTAACAATTTTGTCATTATTACAGGACCGAATATGAGTGGAAAATCAACGTACCTAAAACAGATTGCTCTCTGTCAAATTATGGCACAGATTGGTGAGTAAGAGTGTACCGTATTAGTAATCTTGCGCAGCCCATCTGTTGTTTTCTATGTTAAAAATATTTATGAAGTTGAATGATTCGGTTTCTAGAGTAAGATTCTATCTAAATAGTAACATATGATTTTTAGTCAGTTTACACATACCAGCTCTTGTGTTGCTGACAGAGGCTACTGCAAGGTTTTGGGTCTGCTGTTGGAAACTTATGGGGCCCGGTCTGTGCATTTGGAAGCCTCCCCAGTCTGTCTTTAGGAGAAGCACAGTTGTATGCTTTAATTCTTTGGAGCACCTTAACCCAGACTAGTACCATATGCTAGATTGATAGTGAGTGTTCTTGAAATACGCCCGTCGGGCTACGTATGTGTTAGTCATCCAAAAAGAAGAGATGAACTTGAGCATACCTCCGTTATGTAGAGAAACATGCTTGCAGACAAGTAGAATTAATAGATAAATAATCAACTACTTCATGTAAAAGTAGTAATAAATACTGCAAGGTTATATCACTAAAATAATGAAAGAAAAACAAATATTCGTAAAGTCTAACTGAGACTCATCCCTATACTCAGGAAGTCTTCATGATTTTTACCTTAGAGATAAAGGTAAGGTTAATAGCACAGGAGAAAGACCTTAATAGGCAGACCCTAACTCTACTAGAGTGAAACTACTTAACAGTGGAGAATAAAATTAGTCCACCATGTGTGTGTGGGTTTAATCCCCAACAACCTCAAGTTCTTTGGGAATTGTTCTCAAAAACATGAGTTTAATATGAATAAAGGAGACTGTAAAGTCTTTTGTCAGGTTTCCTGTTCTTTTCTATTCGATAAAACTAATAAGCCTCAAAGTCTGATAAAGGCAATATATTGTTGTTTTAGGGAAACTAAGATTTCTTCAGATTAGTAAATCGATGACTACAGAAATGTAAATTAATCCTAGTGTTTATACTCACTTTTGCATGCCTTTAGACTGACACACAGCTTCAGGCATATGATTTCTTAAGGTTTTAATGATGAGCTTTTTTAATTATGGTACCTATATAATAATAATGATGTTTTCTTATAAAGTAATGGTAGAACATATGAAACTTTGTAGAACGAGATCCATTCTCTACAGTGCATAAAGACCAAGTGTAAAACTGGTAATTTTTTTCCCCCCACTGTCTTATTCAGACAAATTGGCATTTGTCACACTGGTACGAGAAAACTCATATTTTACTTGTTTTGTAGGTTCTTATGTCCCAGCAGAGTATTGCTCTTTTCGAATCGCAGAGCAAATTTTTACCAGAATAGGTATGGATGATGATATAGAAACAAATGCATCAACATTCATGAAGGAAATGAAAGAGGTATTAAGCATAGCTAATTGAGGGTCCAAGGCCCATTGTTACTGTTAAGCTAATAGAAATTGTACTGGTATATTTCCACTGAAAGTGTACTTTGAAAACTAGTAAAAAAAAAATCAACTTTCATCTCTTACCTTGATGATAAACCACAGAAAACCAGGCATATCTTAAATAAAAAGATATCTGAGTAATGGGTAAAAAAATCAGTGCTCTGTTGGGACAGTAGTTTCAATGTTTTGTTATTTCTTAGATCTTAAACGATTATTTGTAGGAGCCTAAGCCCTCTCACTTCCCTCTCCCAAACTGAGGTGATTTTGAGGGAAAATGATATGTTCAATGGAAGAGAGAGAGTGCTGTATTATGAATCTTTGCTTGATTAGAATTGACAGCTATTTGAAAGCTGCGAAAAAGTAAAATTTGTGGGTCTGACAAATTTTTTTTAAATTTCTGCATTAAGTTTCATCTGAATAACACAAAGTATTCCTATTAGCAGCAGTATTCCTACTACAGTTTTTTAAAAATGCATTTATAGGACTGATAACACATTAAATATTTTCCTAGATAACATACATCATACAAAATGCTAATGACAAATCACTCATCATAATTGATGAACTTGGCAGAGGTACCAGTGCTGAAGAAGGTATTGGCATTTGTTATGCTGCCTGTGAATATCTGCTGAATTTAAAGGTAATTCTGTTTTGAAAAAAATTTAAACCTTGTAATAGTTTTGTCATGCTGAAAGTAAATATACTATTTTCTCATAGCTTAACTTTACTTTTGTAGAGATTTCTTGCCTAATATGGTAATTTTCATAACCAGACAATAGTAAGAATTATGTTGATAGAGAAAAAAGCTGACATAAACTGCTCTCTGTTCACTGGTTGTTGTGACTTAACCCCAGCAGGTAGCTAAACCCCCCCTAGCCACTTTCTCACTCCCCCACAGTGAGATGGGGGGGAGAATTGGAAGGGTAAAAGTGCAAAAACCTGTGGGCTGAGATAAAGGCAGTTTAATAGGTAAAGCAAAGCTGCACATCCAAGCAAAGCAAAATAAGGAATCAGTACTTCCCATTGTCAGGCAGATGTTTAGCCATGTCCATGAAAGCAGAGCTTCATGACATGTGGTGGTCACTTGGGAAGGCAGACACCGTAAGTCTGTACACCCCTTCTTTCTCCTTCTTCTTCGCAGCTTCTATTGCTGTGTCAAATATCCCTTTGGCCAGTTGGGGTCAGCTGTCTGGCTGTGTCCCCACCCAACTTCTTGTGCACCTCCAGCTTGCTCAGTGGCAGAACAGTGTGAGAAGCAGAAAAGACCTTGACGCTGTACAAGCACTGCTCAGCAATACCTAAAACATCGGTGTGTTATCAACACTGTTTTGGCCACAGATCCAAAACAGAGCACCAGATAAGCTGCTATGAAGGAAATGAACTTTATCACAGCCAAAACCAGTGCACTGGTCAGCATCCCTTTCCAACTTGCTTGCAAGCTTGCATTTCTATCAGGATATATATATAACCTAGTCTCTTTAGTCTTGCTTAGTACAGCTTTGTGCGCTTGGATGTTAAAGGTGAATCTCTTTACCTGGCTGTTATCTTTCCTAAGTACAGTGGTAGTTCCGCACAACTTACAAATTGGTCATAGAGGTTAGAGGCTTGCTTAAAAAAGTGAGAGATAGTTTTAGATTGATTGAAAGTTTCACCTCTCTAGTTATGTGATCAACCTGAGGTTGTTGTCAGCTTTTTGAAATAAGTATGTAGGTTTTGAGTACTTTTGTGGTTTGGTTTGAGAAGCTCAGATATTTTCTGTAGCTTGCACTTTTGGTAAAACATTCCTTGAGAGTATTAATGCAACCTAATTAATGCAACCTAATGTATTAATGCAACCTAATTAATTTGCCATTAATGCCAAGTGGCAGTCATTCACATTGACCCTTGTCAAATTTTGTATGCATCATGGATTTCCTGTTACTTTTTATATTATTTTCCTTCTATTGAGAAAGGAGTGGGAGAATCTACAGTTGGAAAATATATCCTTGCCAATGGTAAAACTTAGTGTTTAAATATTTTAATTTGCTTTAGTAATTTAAAGACACCTTTTCAATGTTTTGGAGGAAAACCTGGGTATCTGTGAGATCATTTACTTTTTCTTACTTATTGTAATTTATTCTAGGATCATTTCCAAAATTTTTTTTCTTGTTTCCTTATTTAGGCATTTACATTCTTTGCTACACATTTCCTGGAACTGTGTCATATAGATGCTTTATATCCCAATGTGGAAAATTACCATTTTGAAGTGCAACATGTGAGAAGCAGTGCTGGAAATAGGGAGAAAATTACTTACACTTACACACTCTCTAAAGGATATTCAGAGGAAAAGAACTACGGTAATGGATTCCACTATGACTTAGTAAAGATTATGTAAGATACTATTTCAGTTATTAGGCATCTAATGATATTTTTCTGCAGACAGATTTCTGCTGAGTTTGTATCTTTCTCATAGTGTAACAACTGCAGATCTGTATTAGGTTCAGAATACTTGTGTGTTTTAAGTAACCATGTAGTGAGATAGTAGTATGAAGTACTTAAATGAAATTTCATAGTGAAAAAAAAACCCAAAACATTTTAGTAACGTCAGTAGCTACTTGATTCACTACTTGTTTGAATGAGGTGAGCCATTCTGAGCACACAGTATTTGAGTTCATTTAATCTCTGATTATGAAAGCAAGTGAAATTTCTGGAGAGACTTAAAGCTGTGAATGCTGAGGTTTGTGTTATGTAAAACTCTCTTATGTGTCTGCCATAAGTAATGATGTATCAGTTGAATAGCAGCTTGGCCCTTTTTGATTAGTGAAAAAGAATCAAGTTTCTTTTAAAAAGGCCAAGGTTTTTACTGTGTATCAGCCTAAGACTATTTTGCGAGGTTCCACTAAAGCAGTGCTCTCAGGAAAGTGGGATATCCTGGTTTTGCTGGGATAGAATCATAGAATTAATTCTCTGTCAGAAAAACTGCATTTTTAAGAAGACTGCAGCACCTGAAAGTTGGTAAGACACTTCGTTTTAATTTGTAGCCAACCATGGTATGCGGTTTTCCACAGTGATCAAGGTCTTTAGCACTTTAGAGTTAGCCAGGTGCTAAGACTAGAAGGTTCAAAAGCCAGGGCAGCTGACCCAAGCTGGCCAACTGCAGTATTCTATACTGTAAATGTCATGGTTTCTATAAATCTGAAAGTTTGCTAGGGACGTCTCTCTTTGTCAATTTTTGCCATTCCTGGAGAGTCTTGCCTGTCATTCTGCTTCCTGTACTCCCACTTGTTGCAACTGTCACTCTTTCGTTTGCGGAGTATAACTTTGTGTATTTTAAATTAGTATTAATATTAGCTTTTATTTTTATTTCATTAAATCTGTTTTCACTTCAACCCATGGGTCTCCTTTCCTTTTCCTAGTTCCCCTTCCCAGGTGGGGAAAGGTCACTGGGTGATAGAACAGCTGACTAAATAAAGACAATGGGTTTACTTATAACTTTAGAATAAATCATACTGAAGACTACATCTTGATGGATTATGGGTCGATAAAGAAAGGAGTGAGTGACAATAAAGCATAACTGCATGTTTTGAAGAGTTACAGAAATCCGTATGTTTCCAAATACTTTTTTTTAATCTGAACTTCATTTACAAAAAGCTCCTGGTACTTTTCCCAGTGTTTCCACACCTCCATCCTCTGAAGTTGGATCCTTGATTTAGGTGACATTTAATCAATAGGAAATTACCTACACATTACTTTTGCAAGCTAGTGGTTACTGAGGACTACAAATTATTCCAGTCAAGCTTCAATTAACTGGACTTAAATTTCTTTATCAGAATTTCAGAATAAGTTTCTTTACAGATGCTACAACTCCACTAACTCAGAGCACTCATATGTTTAAAGTGTGTTCTCAGAGAACTTTAGTAACTCAGTGTTGATGTCTTGGCTTTACCTTCCTTGAGTAAAGTTATGTTCTAAGAAAGAGTGCAAGGGCTCTTCTTGACACTTTTTCATTTTTAACCCTACAGTATTAAAGCACCTGATGAACCACAGAATTTCCTCAGAACACCCAGGGCCACAGGCAAAGGAAAAAGTAAAAAACATCCTGCTCAGTCAGGAAAAAAAAAAATAAAAAAAAAATTGCATCTCTTTCTTACCCTGAGTAACTGGCAGTTTGGCTGCTGGCAACAGAGTAGAAGTTGGAACATGATATCCATATCTACTGGATGTCTGTATTTAATGGAGAGCACATTAGGGCAGCCTCAGTAATTTTTGGCCTGCCAAATTAAAAAAATAAGGAGAAAGCTGTTAACACTATGGTGCCATTTTTTCCTTTAACCTCTAATGTGTCTCATCCTGTCCAGTATTACCAGCAGTAACTTCATATGGAAGTGTATCTTACAGGTAGTGTTACAACAAAGTAGACATTTTATTTTGTAACTCTGAAAACCATATTTTTTATTAAAAAAATTTAAAAAGACACAAAGAGAAACTGTATATCAAAATTATTTTAATAAAAATGAAAACTTCATCCTTTAAAGAATAGGCTAAGTTAATTCTGGCAGACATAGTGTGGAAGGTAGGGGAAAAAAATAAATTAAAAATCCTGATTTGTGTTTTATATGTTTAGGATTAAAAGCTGCAGAAGTTTCCTCCCTACCATCATCCATAATCTTGGATGCAAAGGAAATCACAAATCATATTGCAAAACAAATTTTGGTATGTAGTAGAAAATTATAATACTGTAATTCACAGTTTTAATATAACTCATACATCTTCAGTTTCTGAAAGGGTATACAGTAAGCACTACCTATGATTTAATGAAAATAAAATAACTAAATTTGTATTTCTTAAAGCAGTTATAAAAGATTATACGTTAGGTCACTGTTAGGTGACAACACAAAGCAGTCCTTCAGGTTAAGGAGTATTGGATGTAATGTTGATGTACAAACCAAGAATCAGGAGATCAGAAATAGGCTGGAAAATAGCTAATATTAGTATTTTAATAAAAGAACATAATTGATTTCATATTTTAATGCATGAGTGTTTCTTTAATAACAGCACAGGCAGAAGAGCACTCCTGACATGATGAAACAGAGAGCTGTGTACCACTTAGCAATGAGATTGGTTCAGACTGCCAGAAATTCTCGATTGGATCCAGACAGTTTGCGTATATATTTGAAAGGCTTGAAGAAAAAGTATGAAGCCAGTTGTCCTGCACCTGGACAAAATGATGAGCAACAATAATGTGTAACATCGGCTGTCGCTCTAATTTTATGACTGTAAGATGGTTCTAATTTTTTCCGTGGTATTAGAAAACACTGCTTTTCACTTGTGTTTGCATTCTTAATTATTAATCTAAATTACACTCACTACTGGAAGACCATATCCTTCATGGTTTTTCCCCCAAAACATACCTGAAAAAAAAGTGTTTACTTTCTGTGAGGAACACAATTCTTTTTGAAAATGAACTATATCCCTTTCATTATTTTAGAGACAAAAAAGTTGTATAATATTTAGTATTTTCTGCATGATACATCTGGTGTCATAGCTCCTACATCTGATACTAAAGATCTTGCCTAAGAAAAAGCAGTCTTTGAAGTAGATGGTCCAGTTGTCTTGCATAAGGCAAGCTCTACTTGCACTGTTGAACATACATCCATAAATGCTCTATGCTCATAACTCTATCTTTATGCTTAATCCAACATAAGGTAGGCAGTTCGGAACTGCTTCCTCTCCAGAACTGGGCAGCCAGAGCTTTTTTGTAACACAGTAACAGCAAATTACTGTGATACTGACAACAGTTGATCAGTTTGTGTTCAGAAAGTGAGCAACCGGAAATCAATAAAAAGTTGAATATCCTTCTTCCTTGTTTGTTGTTTGAGTGAATCTTCATTGAGTGACTGCAGCCATGTATTCCAGCTTGAAGGAATTTCTTTCCTCATTTCCTTCTAACCAGCTTTGGCCAAGAGTTCTTATATATTTTATATATGTGAGTGTATAAATAATTTATTATGTGTGTATCTCTAAAATGGGTAATACACAACAGTGCAATATCTAATTTATAACAACACATATATTTTCATATAGTTATAATATATATATATCTATATCTATATATATCTCCTTTTTATGTATCTACCTTTATAAACATACCAGTGCAACAGAGTAACATTTGTAGTAGGTGCACTGTGGTTTTTTCACCTAAGAAGTATTTTTTATGGATTTAAGCTATTAACCACAATTCCCCTGACTTCAGGCCTTTGATGTTGCCAATTATATCACTCACATTCATCAGTAATATCATATTTGTTGTCTATCCCAGTGAGGATCATGTCAGAAAAAAGTAGTTTGTTTTCAGGTTTCTTAACAAGAGGAAACAGGTGGCAGGGGATGTTGACTGAATGGGGCGCGCATATGCCTGGTGGGATCAGCCACCACAGCACCAGGGAGAACAGTTCTCGGGGTTCATACCTGGGAGCCTGGGATAGCTTGACCCCACCAGAACTGTTCCCCTTTTGCACACCTTATTTCAGAGCCTTTGGGTTGCTGTACGAGTGTCGCGGTGGGAAGAACTTGGCGCTCAATATGAACGATCATCAAGTCTCCGTTTATTATGCTTTTGACTACAACTTATATACAGTTCTTAATGAGAGCATGCATATTCTGTAATTTAACTAATTAATTGGTCACTATCCTAAACGTCAACCCCTCCCCTAGCTCCTGATTCTTGGTTACTTACTCCCTTAAGTTCCCATGCCTTAGCTGACTGTAAGCAAGCTGTTATCGTATAGCAGCTGCAGTCAAGGACAGCGTGTCCTTACCATCCCAGCACTTCAGACTAGCAGAGTCCGACGTTTCCCAAAATCCTGGTCAGCCATCTACAGTATGTCTATGTGACCCTTGTCAGCTAACCAATCCTCAACATACGAGGTTGTTGGTATCTGCACAAAGCTGTAGGGTTAGTTCAGTGTCTGTGGGAGTTTGTACAGGACTGTGGGACTTTGTAGAGGTTTGTGGGGCTTTGTCAGACTTTGCCAGACTTTGTATGTAACCGTGGAATGTTGTATTAGACTGTGGAGAGTTGCTAAAGGCCATGAGGATTTGCTCGACGACAACAGCTTGAAACAACAGCTTTCAAGCCTGGCTCTTTTGGTGTCGGAGGCAGCAGCATTCGTTTGCTGTTTCAGAGCCATACTGGGCTTTATCAGCATTCAGCACTTGGTGAGAACAAATGCTCCTGGTGAGCCAGGCAAGGTACTGAGGCCCAAGTTGTGTGGGGCTATTGAGTGTGGAGAGAAAGGTTTGGTTGTGGAGAGAAACCCAATATCCTCTTAAAAACCGTGGCTCTTCTTAAAAAAAAAACCAAACCAAAACCACTCGATTTTGGTTCAAGACACCAGCTTCAAAAAGAGAAAACATCAACCCTCCATCTACTTTTTCATCTTGCTGATTTTACACCAAAATACTCATCCCCTGGAATTTATGTCTAATTTCTTTCCCCACTGTCGTTTTTTGTGCTGTCCATTGACATTTCCAACCAGAAGCTGGAAGATTTATAGACCCCACAGTGCAAAATTAACATTATAAATGTAGAAATGTCATTTTCTGTCATTAATTCCCCCCCACTTGCATTCAGACCCCAATCTGAAAATCCTATGGGGAGGCTGAGGACTGACAGCTTTCATGACACCTCTGACAGGTGAAACTTTGCTTGGCAGGAGCATCCACAGAGGTGGAACCCCCAGAAATGAAGGAAACAAGGGATTGTTCTAGGTTTTGGGGTGTGGAAAGAAGGAATTGGGCAGGTAACTGTAGAGCAATGAACTAAAATAATTGCTGGGGTTTTCGTTTTTAAACACTTTTATAATTTGAGAACAAAAATCAGCTGAGAGGGGTTGTAGAGAAAAAAAGTGCTTTTTCTAGCACTTCCCTCGGGAAAATTTTTGTCAATCAGCAGGTGAAACTTTTGCTCTAAACAGTCTCATTTCAGACACTTTGGGTTATTCTCATTGATGATTAATTCTCCTTGAGGCACGTGAGTCACTGTTTCATTTGGATCTTTTTAATTTCCCCCCCTTCCCCCCAAAGAATTCAGATTTCTGCTTTATTCTGAAGGACAATAAAGAAAATTTTTGAATAGTTGAAGTGTTAAAAGACCCAAAAAAATAAGTCTGGGATTTAAGTCCAGTTAAGATACATCAGTAAAATACTGATTAATCTCTGCCTTCCATTTAGTTCTCCTGACTCTTCCTCCCACCTTTGTCATCCTCTTGGTGCACAATAAGGTAGAAAAGGGGTTTTTTTTGGGTCTTTTCCATCATTTTAGCTAGGGATTAAGATTTTGAGGATTTTTTTTATTATTTTAATGTATTTGTTGACTTTTTAATGTGCTGGTTTTTGATTTATTAATTTTTATTTGTTGATTTTTGATGTGTTGATCTTTTTTTAAAAAATATTTTTTATTTTTTGATTTGCGCATTTTTTAAATTTGCATTTTTTATTTGTTGATTTTTGATGTGTTGATCTTTTTTTAAAAAATATTTTTTATTTTTTGATTTGCGCATTTTTTAAATTTGCATTTTTTATTTGTTGATTTTTTAATTGGTGGAACTGTTTTCTTTGGCTTTTTAATTATTTGTCATATTTGGTCTCTAACTTACTTTCTAATATTATTTTTGCATGAGAAGGTGGAGAAGAGAGGAAAGGAGGGTTTGTCCCATGAGATTTGGTTCATGTGGTAAATGGGGAGAAATAAGGGTAAGCTTAAAAAAAAAAGAGAAAGTCTACTGGGTCAAACCAGAGATTTTTTAGGTGAAATCCTAAGAAAACAGAATTTTCTTTGCCCATGGAAGAAA